CGCTGCAGGAAAAGCTGGGGACGTTGCTTCACTTGAAACGGTAAACAGTAACGGGAATGAGGGGCCGAAAATCTTATACTCTCCAGTGTGGCATTAGTTTTTTAACTTTAAATGCAGTGCTTGAAATTCACTATAATAATGGGCAATAGAAACATTTGAATAGGTTTTGATCTTTTTAAAACATATTAGAGCTAGCTTGCTATTATTACATAATGAACCCAACAAGATTTAACGCCTACGTTGCTTTGTTATATTATTGTATCTAATGAGAGTATGTGAGTGAAGCGAGTGTACAACTGTGTTGTTAGTCACGTTCGGATTTTTTTCGCTGAGGTAAGATATACGCTTGCGGGTCTATGACGGCATCGTCCGTTTCTCGCGCAACACGGTCGAGCGATTTGACGCCCAGGCCACTCAGAGGCTGGACCCTGATGGCGAGCCATGAACGTTAAGCGGTCAGCCGCGGTCGCCTAGTGGCCACCTTGGAAGTAAGCACCCGTGTTACAATCGCAGTTACGTTTGCCGCCGCGCTATGTGGATGACGCTGTTGGTTATTACCACTCGCTTGAATTACTAGATTGCAATTTCTTTGCCGTAATATATGGTAATGTAATATAGTGCGGTGGGTTGTTGAACTTCTTAGATTACTACGATTGCCAATAGTGTAACACGGAGTTTTGTTTGGGTGGTGCCCTGGTGGTACGTGTTATTGTGATCATTCATAAATTAATGTCGTTAATGTCTATTCGCGTGCACATTAACAAATTTGGAATTGGCGCGAGTGTGCCTACTTAATGCTCTCATTCACAAACTGGAATCTCAAAGGTGGTGGTTTTCGGACGCCGCTGCGAATGGAACGACGGAGCGCAGAGTGGCGATTTTCCGCCGCGTAACATATGGCGGCTCCTTGCAGGGCGTACGCGATCGCGCTACGACGAGTCCCAATGCTTGAGCTTCGGTGGAGGTTCGACCCGCTCAGCGATTTCGTGGGAGTTCCAGGCGCCGATGTCGCGGCTCATGTAGGTGGTCAGGTGTCGGGTCGGTGTCGATCAGCCCGCTGCGAAGTGATGAGGCGCTGAAGAAGGGCGACTGAAGCGATGGCGGTGCGTCACGACGATAGCAAATCTTAACAAACAGCATAATGTTTTGTTAATTGGCAGCACGTGCTGTGGAGCACGTTTAAATCTCCAGTGGAGCCCGTACTGTATATACAAAGAGACGTGAGAGAGAGAGAGTAACATAGCAACAAATCATAGGTAGACTACTATAATATGTATATATATGTATATGTAATATGTAATGGGTAAATATGCATATGTATATGTATATGTATATTATATAGTTATACTATACATTATAAGCTAGGAAAGGGGAAGCTAAGACAGTGAAAAGTATGGACTATTTTTCAATCTTTGGACAGAATACTTAGGTCGACTGGCAAACAAATAGGGACAACCAAGGAAACGCCGTAACAGAATTGCATGTAGTCTGTCCCGTAAATTTTCGCTCGCGAAGGTTCCTAAATGAGTTTCACTACGTTTCAGTTGCGTAGTGCGTAGTATGTTTGCCACAGGATTTTGGTTGGTGTCAGCAATTCTTCTCGACGGTCATCGAAGTAGCACGGGGAATATTATGAAAGCGTGTATATACTATTAGTTTTCGATTACTAGGTTTCTGCGCACTCAGGCGTCGTAGACTGGGTTTAAGCGGCTGGCTACAACTCTGTGCCCACGGGTGGTATATCGTGCATCAAATACCTTTAGTCTCGTTACGGGGCTAGCGCCCAGAGTTGGCTGCTAGTCTATGTGGCTTCGGCGTAGTCCATGTGTCGACCGTGCTCGGCTCAGAAGAAATTTGGCGATGCATGGAATTCGAGAGTTATCCGCGAGGCAGTTTAATTATATGGTGTTAGTTCTGATGTTACTAGCACACTAGCACACCAGTATACGGCATGGCACATAACCCATATTGCATAGCATATTTTTGTTAACTCGGTAGAATCTAAGTGTTACGAATGTAGTATTATGTGAAAGAAGGAGCGAGTTTTTGGCGCATCTCGATGAGTGGAACGAAGTTGATATTAGACAGGAATGTATATTAGATTATATTAGGATTATATTAGTTATATTAGATATAGAATCTCTTATTTTCTTCGCAGTCACTGATCGCACGGCACCGGCTGAAGATATTGTCATTGCTATATCTTTGATCGTTAGCTAATAATACATGTGAGTTATCCATTAGCTCTTGATTTTATGTTATGTTTAACTATTCTGCCCACGCTAATAGTAGCGCTGGAGGGGTCTATCGTCCCGCCCGGGGTACTGCCGGAACGTAGCCCTGGTACGGTCGCGGTATACCCTGGTACTATCTATATGCCGGACATTACCTCGCCACTCACTAACCGAGGTCTAGGAGTCGCCTACGCCTACTCCTAATCCGCTAACCGCTAACCATATCAGATAGTTACCAGGTACGTTCCGGTATGACCCGGACCGTACCTCAGGTACGGTTCCGGCAGTACTCTGGGGGGGACATAAGACCCTATGAGCAATAGGTAGGAATGTGGCTCTCAATATTACAGTCGATGTTGTCACTCGAAGGAAGGGGACTTGGTAGGTCAGCAACATTTAATAACAAGAGTGATCTCGTGGCGTTTTGGGCTGACCAAGTTTTTCTTGGATCTCCTGTTGCATCTTTAGGTAACTGCACAGTCTGTCGTGTGACGAGACAGTCCGTGCTGCCGCCGTCAGCAGCAATCTTATTTGCCAGATGTTAGATTATGGTGCGGATACCTTCCATACAGAAGGTGGAGTGGGGTAGCCGGCTGAGAGTCACGTTGGTGGCGCGCCGCCTATGAGCTAACGTCAGATGGGTCGTCGGCGAGTATATCGCCTACGCCTACTCCCTAGCCTAATCTAACCCTAAGCCATAACCCTAACACCCTAACCTAACCATATCAGAGATAGTTAGCCGTTGCCGTACATATTAATACCCATATACGACAACGCGAGCCCTTCGTGCTGTGAGTAGCAGTAGACAGGTTTTCATTTAGAAATCTCTGTTTTTGTATGAAAGAACTTCAGCCGTGGCTGACGCGTAATACATCATATCGGTAACATCGACTATCAGTTATTTGGTGTCTGTGTATAATTCACAGAAGAGAAATGCCCAGGAAACCTTTACCTGGATTAATAATTAGATTAGATAGGAGTTTCATAATGTGAGGTTGAATGATTGTGTAGGTTTGTCGTGAGTCCGTTAGCAGTAATTGCTAGCGTAGCACGTGAGAGGGTCTAGTGGTTCTTCCCAGGGGTACTTGGGCCCGGAACGGTACCCTGGTAACTATCTAGAATGCCGGACGTCTCGGCTACTCGCATAACGAGTCTAGGGATCGCGCTACCGCCTACTCCCTAAGCCTAGGACCGCTAACCGTAACCGAGTGATCAGATAGTTACCAGGGGTCACGTTCCGGGCGAGTACCCCTGGGGACATCAGACACTTGAGCTTAGCGTATAGCAGTCTGGGTAACAGCAATTATCAGGCAATGGAGGAGAACCATATATACGTTGAATAAACTTACTCGTTATCAAGAGCGTATAAAGAAGCCTTCTTTTAATACACTCTTTCGTATATGTTTAGCGAGAAGAGTCGCTGTGGCAATTCTTAGCTATACGTTATATTACTAATACTGTTAGATAATTGCGAAATAAAGTTTGCCAGTATCTCGG